AAGCTGGCCATTGCTTTTAGCTACCATTATGCACATGAAGAGATTTTTAGTTTTGGAAAAAGTGCAAGCAGGGAAAAAACAGGCCCTGAGGATTTTACCTTGACTAAAGTATAACATGTCTGGATATACTGATATACAATAGCTACCTCCTAATAGTGACCTTATATTTAACATGGGAAGAGGAAATGTGATAGCAGGTAGAAACTGTATGCTAACATTGTTTCAAAATCAGGTTTTTGAGAAGGATCAATTAGGTTAAGCTGTAATAAAAGTGCAACTATTATAGATTTCACTTCAGTCAAATGAGTAATATGGATGCTGTAAAAGATGATGGTAATTTAAATACATGCACAATTAAATATTACTAAATACGGATAATAAAATGCATGGAAAATTAATGAATAAGGGAAGAAGATATATTGAAGGGTAATTCTCTCAAATTACTTTTCCCAGGCTGGTGTTCCATAGGTCTGCTTATTGTGTTCTGCCAAACCAAAGCAGCAGACAGTCTGGGAAAGTGGAAATGGAGAAAAACCACTGGCTGATTTGGTACAGTGTTCTGTGCTTTTCTCCTGTGCTGTTACTTGCAGAATGCTAAGCCATGGTTTGGCTTGGCAGTTTTCTCTTAGTTATCTCTAATAAAACTCATGTGGTTGTCCTGGGTTGAGTGAGTGGTGGAGTTTTTTGGTGGCAGGGGAGGGGGCTATTGGGGCAGCCCCCTGTGAGAAGCTTCTCGAAGCTCCCCCAGCTCCACGTCAGCTCCACTTCTGTTTGGGAAATTGAGCCAATCGGCTGCGCCTCTGCGATAAAGTATTTAAGAAGGGACGTGGTGACGGGCAGTGGGACTTGTGAGGAGGAGTTGCTGCAGCTGCATGAACACCAAGGTCAGTGGAGGAACGGAGGAAGAAAGGAGGGGGGAGGTGTGCCGGAGCAGAGACCCTCCTGTATCCTGTGGTGAGACGGCAGGGCGGCCCCCCCCTGCCACCCATGAAGATCTACGGTGGAGCAGACATTGATTTACAGCCTGTTGTTCCTGCTCAGCTGATCAAGGTTCTGTGCCCGAAGAAGGCCGGGGTCTCATGGGAAAAGGTAGCCCCGCTGCTGTAATTCAGTGCTGGGAGGATTGCAGCATGCGGGGGAGTCCCACGCCGGAGCAGCTCGGGAAGGGCTGCAGCCGTGGGAGAGAATCCAGTCGGAGGAAGTTAGTGACCCATGACGGAGCTGTGTGGGGAACGCTGCGGCCTGTGGGAGGAACTCATGTCGGAGAAAGTTTGTGGAGGACTGTCTGCTGTGAGAGGGGGACCACGATGGAGCAGGGGGTAACAAGTTTTGGACACTCCCCTCACCGAAGATGAAGGAAGTGGCAGCACTGGCTGCACCCCGCATTCCCTGCCCCTGTGCCACTGGGGGAGGAGGTAGAGGTATCGGGAGCAGAGCTGAGCCCGGGAAGAAGGGAGGGGTGGGGGGAAGGTGTTCTCAAGATGTGGCAATGCTTCTCACTGTCCTACTCTGTTATGTGTTGTTAGTGTCTGTAATAAATGTATGTTCTTTTTTTTCTTCCCCTAAAGAGTCTGCCTTTTGCTCGTGATCATAAAAGGGGGATTTTCCCCCATCCCAGTCCTATCTTGAACCCCAAGCCTGGCTCTCTGTCCCTTCTCATTGCCGGAGGGGAAGGGAGAGAGAGGTGCTGCATTGTGGTTGGCTGTCAATCAGGCCTAAACCACGACAGTGGTGCATGGAGCTAGAAAGAAAGGGCTAATAATGTGACTATAAAAAATTAGTATGTAAAATAATAGGGAAATCAATACTATAATAAAGTGGTCTGGAGATGGAAGAACAGAATAGATTCTACTAGTAGTCCTCAAGTGGATTGAGCATCATCTTTGTATTACATACCACTGTTCAGCCATAGTTTTACCTGTTTTTCATGTATGGTTTCAAATTCTTGCTATGCATTATATGTTTGCCTCCCAGTTCCTAAAAGAAAGTACATGATAGGACAGTGTATAGTTCATTCACCACCCCATGACCTGGATTTTGTTGAAAGAGGAAACTATTATTAACCTGGAGTTTAAAGAGCAAGTGAAGAAAGAAGGAATAGATGGTACGTTTGAGACTTGAAAAGGCAGGAAAAGGAAATCAGAACTGAAGGATTATGTTTTTCCTTAGAGCTGCTCTTCATTATATCTTGTAGAACAAGAATCAACAGGTCTCAACATCACAATTTGCAGTAACATCAGAATCATTCTGTTATTTCATGAATGAGATCTACCTTATGTCCCCCAAAACTCAGATGAGTCAAAACATAGAAAATGAGAATTTATTCTCCTGCCAGATCTTAGAAACTATTTTCCCACTCTCAGTTGCTATAGAAAGCTACAAATTAACAGGCTGTCACCAAAAGTATTGATGGGGGGCAGGAGAGGAGTTGGAGGCCACTGGGCTTATTTCCACGTAACACATTTAGATTCCAGTGGATTTCAAAGAGCACTCCTGAGCTGCAGACCTGTGGACTGAGAAAAGGGAAGAAAGGTCCCATTTGCTGTTACTTGTCACAGTTCTGCTTCTCAAACACTAGTTGCAGCAGCTTTCTTTGGTGTACAGTGCTGTGTGAAAGCAAAACACACAAAAAAAGAGCTAGTAAAGCTTGTATTTCTAATCTCTCAAGGACTGCTAACCTCTATCTTTTAGGCAATTTAAGCCAGCACTATAGTCCGAACAGAAGATGATTGCCAGGAGATTATTAGGTGTGAGTGCTTTAAAAGAACAGCTACCCTTCAGACTCAGTCCTGGAGTAATATATTAATTATACAAAAAAAATTGAGAATCATTTCTGGACAAACAGCAAAGTTAAGAGAATAGCCTGCACATGATTTTAATGAAACATGTAAGAAACCATGAAATTCCTGCCTAGACATAGTCAGAGAGAGACCAGAATAGAATATTTTCTATCAACAGATACTGTATTTTTTGGCTATCTTGTTTTGCAGTGTATCATACTTGTTCTTACGAAAGTATGGAAGAATGGTAATTAGACTTAGCTAAGGGAACAGGCTGAAGTAGATCCAGCTGAAGATGTTTTTCCAGGCAAGATAGCAAGTTACAGTATTTCTGGCTAAAAATCAGTGACATTATACTGTGTAATAGAGTAGTCTATGTCATCATCCATTTATAAACATCTATAAATATTTAAATTGGATTATTTGTGCCCATCTTACAATACTTTTGGTCAGCTGAGGACTGTGGACAAATCTCATTAACTTCCCAGGTATTGGCATGAATCTTGCAAGTTCTACGAAATACTCATCATTCTGTCATCTCCTGTGTCATTTTTTGTTCTGGTGATTATTCCTAGGAACATGCCCTCTGGAAAAGGCACAGTATCAACTTGATTATTTTTATTGCTTATTCTGTAACCTTTACATTTCTAAACACATGTATTGACATTGTTTACATATGTCATTATATCCCTAGGAACATTTCATATTGAAGGGTTATTGCATATGAATTAATTTACCTTGTGGCCAGAATCTATCTTAAGGCTGAGATGTCTTTTGTAGTAGAATGAACTCTTTTTTTTTGACCAATATTAGAAAAACAGTAATCATAAAGAACATATGTTATTGTAATGCCTTTAAAAACCCAGCCAGACTCCTTTGTGTTAAATCCATTTGACCCATTATTTATGTCATACACAGTTATATAAATCCATATTTAGTTCCATGGAGGATATCATCACACTTTACCGCATTAAGCTGTAGTTTTCCAACCTTGTTCAGAACCAGACTAGGAATCTGATAAGATTTGTAATGGATGTGCATTATTGAGACCCTAATAAAAGTTTGTAACTTCTTGTTTAAAAGTGCTTAATTACTCTACTATTTTAGAGTGAATTTTTCAGTAACTCTATCTTTCCAGAAATACTGCATAATTTCATTCATTACCTCTGTGTATTGTAAGCAAAGTCATTGCATTTCTTTTTACTGTTCTGCAGTTTCTTTTAATCTGCATTTTCTCTAAATACTTTAATCTGCAAAGATCCCTTTAGATCTGCATAAACTCATGCACCTGTCACATCAAATGTTTCTGGTCTGGTTCTTTTGAATAACAGGAATCTCTCTGACACATGCATTGCAAAAATGAATGCAGAAAGAGCTATTCTGTTTTCATTCAACAATTTCCATTCCTACTTCCCAGTGTGATAAAGTACTTTGATATCAAACATTTTTTTTTTTTTCTCTACCAAATGCTTTCATATTGCTGAAGCTGATATGTTTGTACTTTGGGACACCAAAATAATTGCTAATCCTGTTGATGCTTTATTTCTTGGGATTTGAAAGGCTTTTAAATGCCTTCTGCAAAATTTAGTATTATCTTGTTTATTTGATTTAAATTTGTGTAAGTAAAATAGTTTTTGATTATGTGATTTAGTAATGGACAAGAACTAAATTATTTGGTTCTATTTGCATAAGCACCTAAAAGCTTTTGGACACTTGTTCAAGTTAAATTCTATCTTTATGAAATGGGATGCTCTAACAAGAAGTGATGTTGGCACATGCTTGAAAGCATTCCTCTTTAAGCGAAACTGCTTCCAGCAAGAAGCTGTCTCTAATGGGTATTTCTGTTGCTGAAACAAGAACTTGTAACATTCTGTTTTTTCCTGAGTGGTATAGGATTACCACTTTCATGGGAATTGGGGCCTAAATTTGGGAAGACAGAATTGTGAAGGGACATAATCCTGAACAAATTTACCAAAATCTGCTAAGCATTTTCTCAAATGTCTAAAGTGGCATGTAGGAATTTCTGACTCCAGTAGCTCAACTAGATAAAAGCTATTATCCTAGATCTTGTTTGTTTAATCTTAGCTAAATCTGATTTTGCCTATTACTTTCTAAATGCATATATAAGATGTAAATGAATGGGGAATTTTGAGGGGAAGTGTGTATTTTTTTAAGGTATGACAGCAATTAAAAGAATTTTTTATGTTTTCAATAAATGAGGCTATAAGAGGTTTATAAGAGGTTCACCTGCATGCAAGAGCAATCCCCAGGGCAACAGAAGCAACATACAGTCACTGGTGTGACACCTATCTGCAAGACAAAGGTTACTGCAGCTGCTTTATGATGGAGCTAAGGGACATTTTTGAAGGTATAACATTTTCTGATAGAAAATAAACTGGAAAATTCTCTTGAAACTTTGCTCAGGGTCAAGCTGTCTCTAGCAGAGATATTTAGCAAGGGTCCTAAGACAAAGCAGAGAGGGAGATACTCTCTCAAGGTTGGCTTGAAAGATGTCAGCCATTCCTTCACGTAAATTATGGGATTTATGTGGTCCCTTTTTGGCATATTATTAGGACAATAAAGCCATTCCCTGATCAATAAATGATAATGTAATATAAAAGCTACAAATACCACATCAAAATATTATAATATGTAAAGACATAAAACTCTCCAAATCCCACAGAACTAGAAGATCAAGCAGGTTTTTTTCACTATAAAGACTTCACCTACTCATGCAGTTTATGCACATTGTATTTAATGAGTCTTGGGAATTGAGATTCTCCTCATTTGTTCATTTGGAAGTGTCTGTGTCCATTTATGAAATGCAGTAAAAATATCATGTTTGTCTAAATACTCTAAGTATAAATAATTCATATTATTTCATCTTTATTTTATTGAACTTCCTACTAGGCTTGCCACTTCTAGTTCAGATCAGGAGCTGCTGTGTTAATTGCTCTTTGATGGCCTCTGTTGTCCAGGTGCAGAAATAGGAGAATTAGAAGCAATGTTAATGAGTGAGGCAGCACTGGGATGCAACATATGTATGTGTGTTGTTCATCTTCTGTCTACTGCAAAGTAGAGCCAATATTTAATAAACCACCAGCGGTAATACCATAGTCATGGAGGGAAAACTCTGAGTTTATCCCACCAATCTGCCTGGCTGGGCTGAACCAGATCCAAATGCAGATGCAGGTCTTATGCAAAACCAAATCAACCTACTAATACTCAAATTTTTAATTCTCCTTGTAAGCAAATTTCTGTCTTACTTTCCACCAGGCACAGAAGTTGTGAAGAGGATTATAGCCATTCTCAGGAGCACTGGATGTTGCATAGATTTTTATTTGATAATATACTGATGCAGTTTATTTGTATATAATATCCATGAGCACTGAGAAGTGTACTGAAGTTAAAAGGTTACTCGTACACTCAGAGTGGCCACCTGGACTGGGGTCCTTTCCTTTCTGGCTTGCTACTCATAACATCTTACTTAACTTCATTCAAAATGTGCTGCTCTTGTCTGACCTTTACATGCTTTCCATGATCTTTCATTCAATTTGGAAACAAAAGGGGGATGAAAACTCTGATAAAGTTTCCAACATCTAGATTCTAAATGCCCTATAGTGACTTGACGTGCTGTACTTCAGGGATAAGAGAAAAATAGATTTCAGTTCTAGGTCTTTAAAGCACAAAAATATAAAGTCTGTGCATTCAGAAAGCCTTTAATGTTAAGATGGGAGCAAAACTATTTTTTTGCAAGTCTAGCAATTGCTTGTAGCTTTTTACATCAGCTAAGAGACTATTAATGAACCGATTCATCAGACACTACAAAGATATTTTCTGTTCACTGAAGTGCCCCACTGAAATTGTTTATAGTCCAATTCCTTTGCTTGTAAGGGGAATATTTGTCTCTACAGTATAGTTTAAAAGATTATTTTATATTAAAATATCAGCCTTGACTTCCAAAAATTATTTTTTTACATTTTTTTTATTTTTTTTTGTGACTGGATGATCCAGAGCACAACATTTGCCTTAATAAATATATTTCAGTTAATATTTAACAGTTCGTGTGTATGGGAACTGAACTTAATTTTTTTTTTAAATGAACTACATGTAAAGAGCAAAATCAACTTTGTTATCATGCACTCTCTGCCCTTGATTGACTATGTTGATTGAGTCTGTTGTTAACAGACTCCCTCTGCTCTTGATTGAGTCTATTCTTGCAGTCCTTGCTCACATTGATATTGTCACTTGTTCATCTAGGGAACAGCATTGCACTAAGGATTACTTGTGTATTTGCTACTGGGAGAAACATCTCATCTGAAAAAAGGCTTACTTTTCAATCCTTCATTCATTGAGAATTGAATTTTTGAAGTTTAATAATTTTGATCAGATTAGTGGTTTAGGTTTTCAGATCAATGGTTTGAAAGAAGGCAATTTTTCAAAGTGATGAAAATGTGAACTCTGGAAATTGGGGATTTTTTTCAAGAGCACAAATGGGTTGCCAAAATTATGGCAAGTGGAATTGCTGCTTACTTTTTGGTTGTTGTTGTGTTTTTTTTTTTTTTGTTTTGTTTTAACAACAACAAAACAAATATAATTTTTTGGCCAGCATCCTCTGCCAGGTGCACAGGATAAAACATGACAAAAGAAATGTCCTAGTAAGGGAGGTGTGTTTTTTTGTCTGTATGCTTATCCAGCATAATCCCCTCAAATTGCAGATTACAAACTAATGCTGGTAGAAGAGTGTTAATTCTGTTATTGTTTTCCAGCTCAATGGTGTGTGGAACAGCATTGGACTGTTAGGAGAGAGTCAAATCATCTTCAAAATGGTTTCATTTGTTTTGTTATGAATAAGCTTCCTATGTTTCTGATTCCTATTAAAAATATCTACAGAAATCTGTTAAAGATAATATAGACCTGCAAATTTGGAAAGAAAGGGATTTTGGGGGTTTAGATATCACAAAGTCCAAGTCCTTTTTCACACCCCAGTATATTAAAAAAATGAATTTTGCCAGATCTTTTTAACCCTTCCCTCCTGCCAGTCTGAAATACACTGTTTCCACATTATGAATAATTTCTCCCTTGATTAGTCATATATATTTTCAGCTCATCCAAGTTGCTTGATGAATTTAATAAATGTATTTTTCATTTTATATTCTCTACTAAAAGAACTAGTCACAATGCCTGTAAGCTTGAATCCCTCAAAGGGAGCTTCTTTCATGTTCCCAGTTAATGAAGAGATCCAGTAGACTTGACAAGTTTCACTCATTTGGCACGAATAACTTTTATTTTGCATGAATTTGAAGTTGTTTCTTAAACATCTTACTTTTCTGTGCCCCTGAGACATTTTTCCACACTCCTATTCCTTTGAAATCTTTTATTCAGACTGTCATTGTTTGGCTGCCCTGGAATCCTTTACTCTCATCCACAAGTACAAGTAACTGTGTCCCCAATGAGAAAGAAGAAGTCTATTTTTACTTGCATTGATTAAAAAAAAAAAAAACTAGACTGATCATCTGCAGTTAAAATAAATTTCATTTGTGGAAGATATCATATAACAATAAAGAACTTTAGCAACAGAGAAACTTAAATTTAGTTACCTTATTATAAATGAGCAGTAATTTCACTGAAATTAGTGTTATTTCTGATTTAACTCTGATGCAGCTCTGATATAACTGCTGCAGCATTATTTTTTTGTCTGAGCAGGCCACTAATAAAGCACAATATAACAGTGAATTGAGACCCTTTTTAAGTACATTTAGATAAATTCTCTATTGCACCAATGTGGTCTGCCTGTTGTTCTCTAGCATGTTGTTTTGGGAGGAGAAATCCTGCTCCTGTATGAACCACGACAAATTTTGTATTGGTAAAGTAATTCTAGAACTGGACCAGAAACAGTTTAGTTAAACTATCTGCAACTATCTGTTCATTAAGCGTATTGTGTCACCTATATGCTTCACATAATTCCAAGCTTCCCTTGTTGGGATTACTCACAAATCTCCCAAAAGGCTTTGGGAAAAGCTGTGAGGGAGTACGCACCCGTACATCTCCATTGTTTTACTGTGGTGGATGTTCTTGTCATTACTGGAGTGGTGGAAACATCCAGTATACACCTGCAGGGAGCATCTACAACCTGGATATTATAAACAGTTTTGCTCACTGTCTCATGACACTGCAAAAGTTGTAAGGCCCGCAAGCCTATGTCCTTCAAGAGAAACACTCTGAATGTAGGGTCAATAAGAAAATAATGCTGATCCATCTGGTTTGCACTATATTCAATAATGCTGATCTACCTTGTTTGCTTAACAGTTGCTATATTCTCAGTGAAAAATACCAAGTAGTTGTGGATAGCACTGAACTTGGCTTAAATATATGTATCCTACCCTGCATCTGTGTTCACTCTGGGTCAGTGATGAGATGTCAGTCCTCATGTACAGGGGCTGGAACAGAAAGTATGCTTGTGCAAACACACATAATGCTTCTTAAAATTCAGGTATATTTAACACAATCAAAACCCTGCAATAAGCCTGAAGATACCTATCTTCTTGATGGTTTAAATTAGGTAAGATCAATCTTATGACCAACATTTTACTGGGGGACTATCTGATTTACCTAGTCTCTCTCATAAAGCATTGGTTATGCTTTGCAGATTCCTGTGGTTCTGAGATATTCTTTCCCCAAAAGTCCACATTCTTTAAATTGTTAACATGCTAGGAATGTGATAGATTTGTCACAGAAGGAGATTGTTTCTTATGTCAATGTATTCTTCAAATTATAGATTTTTTTTGCTTCTTTTTATTTATTTTTTTTTTAAATCAACAGACAGGTAATATATTTTGGGGGCAGGGGTGCTGTTTTGTAATCCTTTAATAACACTGTTCTGTTTTATTAACAATTTCTGAAGTGTCTCTATAGTCAGGTTAACAGTATGAATTGTAACATTGTTTTAGAAGTGTTTTAATGTTTGTTGACATATTTGGAGTGTTTTCCATTGTAAAGATAAGTTAATACAGTAATGGCCAAGTTTATTCTGAATTACTGAAGGAGATGCCCAGAACAATATCTACATTCATTTCCCACATTATTACCTTCCCCACTGAATTAATAAGATCTAAGTTTACATCATTCAGTAGTTTTCCACACTCAATACACATGACCATAATATGCAATTCTTGATTCTTCTTGCATATAAGAAATAATGTGTATTTATAAATGTAGCGCTTTCATATTTGACTCCTTCATAAAGTACTTCATAAAACACTAGTGATTTGCTTCATAAAGCATTTCTTCACAGTCCATGCGAAAGCAGTCTAGTTTTGTCTACATTATGAGCTGAGGGAGACGTTGAAAAGAGTTTTATGATTTTTCAAGGTCCATCACATGTATACTGTATACCCTCCATACATCTACAGCTGTTCACCCACTGTCTTATCTACATGTCGTGGTTTAGCCCCAGACAGCAACTAAGCACCATGCAGCTGCTCACTCACTCCTCAGCCTCAGCGGTATTGAGGAGACAATTAGGAAAAAAGTAAAACTCAGGTTGAGATAAAGACAGTTTAGTAGGACAGAGAAGGAAGAAGAAGAAAAAGAAGAGGAAGAGGAAGAGTAAAAAGGAGGAAGAAGAAGAAGAAAAAGGAGAAGAAGAAGAAAAAGAAGGAGAAGAAGAGGAAAAGGAGGAAGAAGAAGAAGAAAAAGGAGAAGAAAAAGGAGAAGAAAAAGGAGAAGAAAAAGGAGGAGGAGGAGGAGGAGGAGGAGGAGGAGGAGGAGGAGGAGGAGGAGGAGGAGGAGGAGGAGGAGGAGGAGGAGGAGGAGGAGGAGGAGGAGGAGGAGAAGGAGGAGGAGAAGGAGAAGGAGGAGGAGAAGGAGGAGGAGAAGGAGGAGGAGGAGGAGAAGGAGGAGGAGAAGGAGGAGGAGGAGGAGAAGGAGGAGGAGAAGGAGGAGGAGGAGAAGAAGAAGAAGAAGAAGAAGAAGAAGAAGAAGAAGAAGA